ACGCCGGCGTGACTGACACATCGGACAGCTGTTAACATCCACGGTCTTGCAGGCCACCGCGGGTGGGGCGAGCTGACCGTCTGTGAAACGATATCGACGGAGGCCGCCGTCCGGCAGCGAGCCGGCGAGAGGGCCGAGTGCATGCAGCCATTCTACTGCATTTACCGTTTCGATAAAACCCATGAAGATCCAAATGCTCTTCATCACTTAAACACACATTTAAATGCGTTGGAAATGCATCCCAAACCTTTCCGCAAAACAAACGCTTAAACGCTCACTGACGCCCACCATCATCGGCGCACAGGACGGATGTGGAGACATCTGGTATTCCGGGATCTGAGCCGCCTCGCGTAAAATCAGAACGTCGCGGACATGCTAACGCGAGGCTGGCGAGCTTCGGCCGCCGCCTGCCAATCAGGACGCAGGAGCGGCCGCATCCCTCGTCCAATTAGCAGCCTCCCCCGGCTGCACTCCAAGGCGGGACGCAGCAAATCAATCGCGGCGGGTGACCAGCGGAAATGGAGCCTCTCTCCACCGGCTTACTGGTACAGTGCTGGAGGACCTCCAGGGAGCAATCACACAGCCTCCCATCTCGCACGGCCCAAGCAGACGGCCCTGGCTAACGGGGGCTTTCCCAGTAAGAGGGCCAATCAGAGGCCCCTCACCCCGAGCCCTCTGACAGCATCCCACCTCCACAATGAGGTTCCTCAGGTCCAGGAGCTCGATCAAAAGGCTCCCAATACAAACTGAAGCCCAGGTCTGCGCAACGAGCATTTCAAACATCAGGCGACATTATATGAGCCCTTAATCATCCTTACATCCATCCCTAACCACTCGTTCAGCAAACCCAGCCAATCCCAGCAAGCACAAGGGCACCATGCAGGGGATCAGGGTGCCAGGAGTTCTTCATCTTTATCCCAGGGAAACTTCATTTATCACTTTCTACTGCTGAATATTTACCGCAATATTTTATTACAGTATTTCAGATGAAATCTGCATTCAAAGAAATACTCCTCTCTGCCCCTGATTAGACACTTGATAAATCAACCAGCACACACTAAGTCGGGCTGTCACGCTGTCACCACAAAAGCACACATACTGCCGCATTTACAGGGGTGAGGCCGCGTGTCACTCCGCCAGATGCGCGGAAATGCCACCCTCACAAGGTCGTAGCAACTTCACCGCACCTGCCGGCCTCAAACGACTCTCTACCGCGGGGTGCCTTATCGGCGACAGCACTAGGGGTGTATAGATCAGGCCTGGATCAACAGGGCCCTCCTCTTCTCCGCAGCTGGAGACGTTTCCATGTAACCGTCACGCTCGGCCTCCCAGGCTGCCGGATAACGTGGGACGAGGGCTAAACGTCAGGCGCTCCTCTGAACGCGACATGACGAGACACCAAACGTAACGGAACATCGACATAACAAAGGCGATAACATCTCCTGTCACTGCGGCACGGAGCAGGTTCGAGATGCATCGCAGGGAGGCGTCAACCGTAACTAGGATTCGAGTCCGGGGAGAATCCTAAACCTGCAAATGACCCAAAGTTTAGTCTAGAAAAAAAAAGAGAACAGCTAAATTCTAAGTATTGGGAACACAACACAATAGAGATCACAGATTGCAGTTTTACTTGATTACACATAAAATCCCTCTTCAAAACAGGTCCTATAGTACATATTGCAATATAAAGACAACAAAGACTAATGCTAATTACTCAGATATTCATAGTTACATATTTTTGTATGGGTGGCACAGCAACACAAGGCAAAGGCTCCAAGTTTAAGTGTCTGAGTACCATTTTCATTTTGTGTGCCGGGAGAATGTCAGTCAGGCCAACCAGCACCTTTAAATCACCTACAGCATATGATTGTGTGCATTTGTGCATGCCCTGTAATGGCCTGCCACTCTGTCCAGGGTGTACTCTAGCCTGGCGTGGTCTCCAACCCTCCTCCCCCGCAACTCAGAAAAGAATTAACCCGCTGGAAGACGCATGGTGCATGGGCATCACACGTACCAGCCAAAACGAAATATGCTACATTTCATAGTCCGTCAGAATCACATAATGAGGGGCTGGCCTCTGGTTCTCAATCGGGGACAGCATGGTACCACGTTACGAAAGAGCCGGACAAAAGCCCCAAAACACGAGGGTTCTTCGGCAAAGAACAGGGTTTATAAGAATGTGCTCCTAGACATCCCTGTAGAGAAGGGAACAAATGATGGAGTGAGAGGCCTCAGCCCAAAGACAATGCTTACAAGTACATACAGAACAGGTATAATTACAGGTGCCAAGAGAAAGAGACACACCTTTACAGGAAGTTGTTACAACCGTTTGCGCGTCGGTGTTTCAGAATTATAAGGGCAAGACAATGAAACATTATTATAATAATATAGCTGGGTGCTACTGTACAGCCCAAAAGAACAGCCCAATAAAAGAAATAGGACCAGTAACAAATAAATAAATAAATAAATAAATAAAAAGTTAGCACATCATGATTGAAAACAATTTTAAGCACTTGCTCAACAGAGTTTTGGAGAAAAAAAGCTATTCTGCAATTCGTTTTAAACAGAATATATAATAAGTCAAATTACAGCCACTGTAATATTAACGTCCTTAGCCCGTTATATAAAGAAATTTATATAAACCGTTGACTTATAAAGATTCTCTAATAGCTCCCATCCAAGTCTTTTCTGTATGCCAAGGAGGAAAAGAACAAGCGTCTTTTGTGAAGAGCAGCCATTTAACCTCATTACTTAATAAAATATTTAACTGACATGGCACACAAAAGTACCTGGTTAAAACGCATCTCTGAGAATCAGAGGTCACGTGCTCCGGTCGGCATTTATTATGCGAAAAACAAGCCCTTCTTGGCTGGAAGACTGCATATGGGCAATGCTCCTGCCCTCAGGAAATCGGAGTGCAAAACGGAAAGTAAAATATGTTGATTTTTGTTGTATGTCCGACACTCTTGTGACTGGAAAGGTGCAGAGTTTGACAGAAAGGTCACACTGTTTTCTTTATTTTTTGTAAAGGTACAACGGACTATTCCAGCACAATGCAAGCTGATAAAAAGCAAAACAGCCACCAAATCTGGTTACTCAAACTGCACATTTACTAACTATGCTACAATACTTGCGACAAATTAATATTTACCGGGATCTTAGCACTGCTTATACATTAAATTCAATCAGCAGTACCCTGAAAATCTATTCTGACAAACATTACCGATCGTCAATTCATCTCGAAGCATGATTTGAGGACATGACTTTTCTTAAAATGTAACTGTTAAAATATACAAAAACCAGGGAAAAGGGTGATGTATGAATTAATAAACCCACGAGCCCGACAGATGCTTCTTTTATATTATGAATACCTAATCTCCATATTACCCATGCTATATTTGTCTGTATAATAATGTATATGTAAAAGTCTCAGGTGTCCTGTTCACTTGGTGATTTACTGCATGCAATAATCTGATATTCTCTTGAGTCTACCCACATTTAGGCGACGTGACAGATTCATTTGTAAACTAGCTGCGTGCAATCAACAGCCTTCCAGAAACTGGGATCAAGATTATTAGTATTATAGTACAGTTTCAAAACATGTTTTTGGGATTGATTTTCAATAAGACCCAACATGGATATACATCCATCGATCTTCTAGCTGGTCATTCTGGTCAGAGTGGAGGCCAGCTGGACATTAATGCCAAAAAAAGTTAAAAATAAAATTTCCCTTCTTTCAAAAGGCTTTGCCTTTTGCCAGGCCGCAGTTGCAAATAAGAAACCCGTCCTTAGTCTGTTTTGCCTGGTTAAATAAAGGTAAATAAAATAAAAAATAAAATAATTCCTTTCTCTTTGTGGCTCTTAGAGTAAATTCACAGATATTATTTATAAATCACGTTGCGCTTTTCATATGAATGTGTTGTAAGTTTGAGTAGTTCCAGGTCTAACTACCAATACAGTCACCAAAAACAATACTGTAAATACCTCCCAGGGTGAATATTTACGGTGGCAATGCTGAAAATGTCAACAAATAGGCTTCAGTTCCACAAAAACAGTAGACTCCTATGTAATCAAAGACCAAATATTGTTCCAACCATTCAATTTGTAAACTGGCAAGACCCAGCAACTGTGGATTATTCAGAGCACAGAAACTTCCTTGGTTAATTCCGTGATGAAATTATATTCCAGGCCAAAGCCAAATTCAGTTAATATCGGAAGGGGGAAAAAAAAACTATGCAAGGTTCCTACGCAAACGGCACGTAGGTCCGACTGGGAAAATACATTTATAAAACTTATGGCTTTTAAAGCCGGCTGTTTAACGAATTATTAAAAATGCCATAAGACAAAGACGGTACCAGACGGCAGTGTGCTATAGGCTATAATAATATTTAACTTGGCAAAAGAATCAAGCGAGACATTTTAGTGATGTGGGAAAATGCTTCATTTCACATGACATATTATTAATTTGCTGCTAGTATAAAATATCTACAGTGGAATGAATTTAGATATAAATGCAGTTACCACCCCCAACCATTGTCTAAAAACGAAAATACGGAGTGACACACACGGCCAGACTATCTGACATTTATTTTTTGACCTGTAACACCAGGATTACATTACTTAACTGAGGATATAAAGTTTGAGGATCCAAGGGCGTAAATAAAAACTACAGGAGCCTCCATCGCGTTATAAAATGTCCATGACAACAAGAACACACTTGTTAGAAGGAAATCTACCTACACGCATCATATAGTTTGTTTTTTTTTTTTAATGGGGAAAATAGCTTGAAATAAAGGCTGCCGACGGAGGGAAGGGTGGGGGGCAACTGTTATTTTAAAATGGACCCTGTTTGACCATCATAACCATCAGCAGCGTTGGAAGATGTAAACAAATGCATGTATAACGCGGCGGCTCCGGGGGCCGCGGCTGCCCGGCGGTTCAGCCTCGCAAATCACACTAATACACGCCGGAGAAATAAAGAGGCACATCAGTGCACTTACCGAGTGCCTGGATTGTGGAAACATCATGTCAGTTTCTTGTTTAGTGTGCGGCACTTAACAGCAAAATCGAAACGGCGAGCGAAGAGCCTTTAAAAAATGGGAATTTCTTCTTTGTTCGGCTAATCCTCTCGAAAAAAGAAACGAAATCTGGGGACCCGATGCGAGATTTTCGTCCCCGTTTGCTGGTCAGTGCTGCTTTATCAGTCTCGACCAACTAAAGCTGCATTTGATCCTTTGTTCACTTCGAATTTAGTATCGCTGGTATCTCTGCCCCTTATTTCTTCCACGGCGCAAATGTCCTCCGCCACTCCTCGGTTTGTTTGATCCACCAGCGTTATCGTGCAATTCGGCTGGCTTTGTGCAAACGTTTTTTTTTTTTTAGCAAGGAGCTTTGCTTTCAAGCAGTTTTTTTATATAAAAACCCCCCCGTCGTCGGTTCCGAGATAGCGGATAAATTCTGGCTTGCACGTAGCGCGACGAAAAAAAAAGTTAAAGTAATAAGTCGAATATAAGACAACGCTGCTGTAAAATGAATCCGATCTGGTTTCTACACCGTACAAGCTACCGCCAGCGATCTAGCCTGTCGGGTTACAAATAACGCGGCAGCTGAATTTTGGACGTTGTCGCGAAATATTTTCCTGCCTCAAACTAAACATACAGCGCAGTTTTACAAAGCTTTATGCTTCCCCCCCCCTCGACAAAATCCCTCCTTTCACGACGCCTGCTTCTTCCACCTTCGGATATTACAATGTGCAAATACGAGGTTTTTGCTGAACAACCATTTCTTTTCCGCTGCTCTACAAAATGTAGGAGAGACATCTAGGAACTAGCGCCCCATGTGATGTGGGATCGAGGCGGCGCACCGAAGGCCCATTTTAGATGTCAAACGTATAAAATTACAGTTTGCGGAAGTGTTGCTGTTTAATGCGCCCCCAGTGGAAGGTGTGAGTAGCGCAGCACATCTGCTCCCCGGCCTGTCCGTGCGGCTTATCTCGCAAGCACAAGTTGCGAGATACATACACAAATTGTCCCGGTGTACATAAATCCCTTTGATAACAAAATAAAAAAAACAATTCTAATGCTAATAAGATGACTAGGCGATATAACCATAAATATAACCGCAAAGAAAATTCAGGACCCAAGCTATTTTTTTACTTTTGCATGAAGACCGAGCCATGGATCGAGTTTATGTGGTGTGAGTGGAATAAATTGGTAGAAAAAAAAGAGAAAAACTAGCAATTTATCATTTGAATGTTTTTACAATTGGGTTTCCACTGTACAGTATCAGATATGTGGCTTCAGCCTAACCGAGGTATAACTTCAGAAGACTAAAATGCGCATATATAATTACTGTTACGACTCTGTTCAGCGTCATGTTAAGTTATTCAGTTTTTGAATCATCATTCCCAAGTGTCCAGTTAAGTAATTCAGATGCATTGGTCAATTGAAACAGTATTAATCACTTTGACTATTTTGTTACCTTGTAAAATTAGGTCCAGACTACCCAGCAAGTTTTACCTGACATTCTACTGCAGCTATATAGTGTGTGATTTTTTTTATTTATATATTTATCTTTTAAGCCACACAGCAAAACACTGCGGTGATCTTTTGCTCATCTGATAGGTTCAGTATTTCATGCAACATTGTTTTGATAGAATGGAGGTCACTACAAAAAAAAAGCACAGACAATCAAGTATAGGAACAAATTTTATTCCAATTTAAAACAGATACTTTAATTGTTTTTCTTTTAGGAGAAGGCTATGAAAATCATTTTCATGTTTGAATGAGGTTCAGGCAACAGTGGTTGAAATGAAACAAATACAAAAAAGAAATATGGCTAAAAATACTGTAAATCAATAACAAATGACCCTTTTTCATCAGGGTTTTGCATTAATACATTGGTCTGACACCCCCCTCCCAACCCAAACAGCACATGCAGTTAAAATGACAGTCCTTTAAAAACAGCAGTTTCTTCTTTAATCTTAAATACAGAATAAAGTCCTTTTCTCTCATGTATCTATTGTATGTCACATATCTAGTGTTTTTAATAGTTTTAAAAACTGGACCATAAAATATACAGGCCCACAGATGATCTCCACACCATTGGCACTTGTAAAGAGTCTGACTCTACAAAGATAGGGGATTGGCACACTCATTATAGTACATCATTTACATTTGGTATACAGAGAAGAGAAAAAAAGAACAAAGCGGAAATTAAAAATTACAGCACTACATATTTAAATCATTTAAAAAAAAAAAAAAGATTACGTGGTCCTAGATACAATAGTGTTCAGGTAATGTATCAGCCAAAAACAAAAAAAACACCATGTTAAGTTTGTTTAAATCCACAGCCTTTGAGTGGATCTCAAGCAAACTGTCAAATCCATCAGTTAAAATGCGAAAACCTCATGAGGCGGTACCAGCAGATGCATATGTACGAGCCAGTGATGGATCCGGCTTGGACTAGCACCAAAGGCCTGGTCCAGGGAGCAGCCCCAAGGGTACAGGACTGAACACAAGATTGTACTAAAGCCGCTGCTCAATTTTGTCACTATACATGGGGGGGTGGCGGGGAGGGGTAAAAAGTACAAACAGTGTACAATACAGGACTGGATTGGTGCTAGTAACTGTATTGCCACTAATTCTTCAGCCATTTTGAATCATTACAGCAAACTGCACAAAATGGCTGACATACTGCGAATTTGGCCTTGACACACTTTAATGGACACAGATAATCATCATAAAGTCAGGTAAAGTCCACTTAACATAATTGGCAAAAGAAAAATCAGAGGGTCACCAGCCCAGTTTTCTGAAGCAGATTCACCTTCAAAAGAGTTCAGAGTTCCTTACAACATTCAGTGCTGGCTTAGTGCATGTAAAAGGGTTTGCCCTCTGGTAAACTGAATATCACATTTCAAAACTGGTGGAGACTTAAGTGTTAACTAAATATACAACACCCTCACACACAACAGTCTCCATTATCAGTGAATAGCCAAAAAAACGTATAAGTATATATTACATATATAACTATTATCGTCAACATAATTATTACAGAGTATAAATTAGTTTTTAGAATCAATTGTAGTGTTGCTAGATGTCTTAAAGTTTCACTTTTTAGGGGCTTCTCAAACTGTCTAGTGTCTTACTTTTAACTGAATGGCAGCTTTTAGAAGTTCACAAGCACATTTAAGTACAATGGCAGGAGGTGATGGTGCGCGTGAAGAAAATAGTGTTCTGAGGAACATAAGCAGGAATTTAGAGTTCTTATTCTGGTCCGCTGCTCTTTATGCCGTTACTCGACAGATAAACAGTGATGAAGTGTGCTTATCTTCAAAAAAAAAAAAAAAGTTCGCTACAACTTCCAACTCAGACTCCGGACGCCACGCCGCTCAGAGAGGTAGAAGTTCCCTAGGCAACATCACAGATCTACCAAGCAGACCAACCCATCTGTGAAAAGCTGGAAGGCTGCTTTTGATTGGCTCCCTCCAAAAGCCAGCACACTTAAGCCCCTGAAGGCATCCGATTCTACCAGGTCTTACCATTTGGGTAAACGCTGCTCAGAATCCTCAGGCTGACGCTCGCTGCAGTGTTTCGCACGACATGGTAAATTAAAAAGTGCATAACTAAGTTAGCCAAGCTGCCCTTCTCCCAACCCTCAATGCAGGGGCGCAGGTACAGGCCGTGCTAAATCCACTGGTTTCAAAACTGTCAAAATGGAGAGTTGAAAGGGGACGTCACCACGGCCATTGCTCGACTAATGTTTGAATGCACCCACGGTCCTGCTTAGTGCAAACATCAGCTTAGACCAACACCAACACAAGTGAACATTACATGGGGGCATGTGTGTGTGCGTGGGGGGGGGGGGTGGTCTGGTATTTGGGCAAACCATGAGACGCTGTTTCGGACATAAACCCATTCCCCCCCATGCAGCATAGCATTGTCCAAGTCTACTATTCAAGTCAGCAGAAGCAGAAAGCGTGACGGAGCAGCTTGGGGCCGTACCATGCCCAGACCCAGGGGGAAGCCTTATGTAAAGTTCATTGGCACGGAGAGTACTTCACAGACGTGCAAAGGCATTCATCTATGGGCGAGTACAAGAAAATAGCTTGTGCCTTTTGGAAACGACACAGATGCTTTTGAGTAGCAAAACTGTGCTCTGCCCCCACTTTAACATAGCCCCCAACCCAAAGCCCCCCATTAGCCTGCTGAGAAAATGTCGACCTCCACTGTGACCAGATAAGTGGAACATCCCTCCTGAGCTGGACAGACCTCAGTGTCAGCAACGTCAGACAGAAGATTGAAAACTTTAACCTGCACCAGCTGACCTCACAGAATACCTGCGCCATCACTGACTGTTTTTGGCTTTACTTTTGTTAACTGGAGCATTTGCGGTGCCAACTAGCCAGTCTCAGTCTTAGGACCAACTTGAAAATAAAATTTTAACCAGATTTCCCAATATACCACATGCTGCTGCATGCTAAGTCTGCAGCATTGTAGCGCTATAACACAGATCCCCATCTCCTGACACAGAACCGTATAAATGGCACCTGGCAATCCATCAAATTTTCAATCTCTTCCTCTTTACAATGTTACGCAGTAAGTAGCCCTTGAGATGAAAATGAATGAGAAGTCACCTGAAATTACATAGCAAGACAAAATAACCCTCTTTCTGCACAAGTTAATCTAAACAGGAAGCAAATGCTAGTTGTGGGATCTGAACTGGAAACGAAACTACAATGGAAAAAGGGAAAAAAAAAATCTTAAATTACAAAATTCCAAGGACCAGACAAAAGTTCAACCACTAATAAAAATTACCTACATTTCTTGTATATTTCCTATAGTTGCACAAAGCACTGTCCCTATAACAGCTGAAATTAATCTTCCACCCTCAGACAGAAGTTGTGACTTCAGATCAGAAGCCACTTACAATAAAATGAACATTGTAACTGTAATAAAAAGTGGGAAAAAAAGAAAAAGATTGATTCGCTCAAAGGTTTTTACAGCAGTTTAGACTCGGTTTCCCAGTCTCTGAGCGAGACGGGAACACTAATATGAAAAGGAAACTAATCTAACAACATTTATAAATCTGGTCCATAAATTAGATAAATAAAATTCTTTACTCTCCTTAAAAAAAAAAAAAAAATCACTTCTCATAGTATTGCAGAATGGAAAAATTTAAATTTTAAGCCACGGAACTTTAATTTAAAACGGAAGTCACCATAGAACTTCAAAAGTTACCTGGTGGTTCACAACAAAACATACAAAGTCTGTGGCAGGCATTTTGAAAATATTGCATGTTGCTTTTTAATTGGAGTCACCTGTACATAAGAACAGACTGTTCTATATACCTTCAACATTAAAAGGGGAATAATCACAGTAAATATACTATTGTAATTCAGGGGGAGAAACCAACAAAATGATAATGAGTGGGAGGTGTTTCATCTTTTGCCAAAATGGTGCCCCTCAAATCTTTCTGTACTTAAGTGGGTACATGTATATTCACAGGTAAATACACACTATTTACTTTTGCAGCCTTCAACGACAAATTGGTTCCTCCCCGAAAAACAATGAGTTTTTATCGCCACAGCAAAGACTGTACAATTAGTACCACTGCTGTTCTGGATGGGAACTAGATGCACGAAGCCTCAAAACAAATGAACACGAGGGTGTTCAGAGTGCCGCACAGTCCTTCACGAATTCCTGTCGGCTTCGAAGCCAAGCGCGGAATGCTTTCCGGCAGAGACGGTCAACAGCACAGAAACCGGCAAAACTGCGGCAATGGAAACTGACCAATAATAAAAAAAATTAAAAAAAGGAGAGAAAACAGTCCCTCCACGCTGGACTGAGCTTGCAAACCAGTCAATGTTTACAAGGCTGAGCGCACCACCAGGGGACAA